GATCAGTGTCCTCCCCAAGTTATGATTTCCCCAAACCAAATACAATAATCCCACTAAGGGCAGATTATAGAGAGATTCACCCCTCCCATCCTGGAAGCTATGCCTCCCTAGCTGTACCACAAAAACTCTACAAACTTAGAAGTAGAGGACATTAATGAACTACAAATATAAAGTGCTGGCACTCTGAATAGGAACTACCTTCTGATTAGATGTTGTAAGGGATGACCCATATGGCATGAGATGAATTTAATTCAATCCATAAGTATCTATGAAGAGCTTACATGTGGTAGGTCTAAGAAAGACCCCTCGAATCATAAATATCTCCCCACTACCACAATGTGTCTTGATACCTATAATACTGAGAGCTTCCAATAAAATACAGATATACATGAGATGAGAAACACCTTATACCTTAGCCAGATTAATGTAATAAAAACTTAGTGCAAAGCCTCATAAAAAACAGAATAGGACACAGGTAACAGCAGCCTGTCAACAAATATTTATTGAGCAGGTGTCATGCGCCAGATGCTACGGATACAGAGAAAGCTAAAAATACATTGCATGGTCTCAAGGAGCTCACATTAATGGAAGAAATAACATGCAAATAACCACATGCATCCAAAATGCATACAGTGCAAAATAAAGAGAATCTCTGAAGGAAGGTCTAGCAGTGGGGAGGAGGGAGAAGAGGGAGGAAAGGTCTTCTGCAACAGGTAGAATTTGAACTGAGTCTCAAAGGAAGCCAGGTGAGATTGGAGAACTTTTCTAAGCATAAGGGGGCAGGTAGAAAAAAAGCAGTCAGAAAAAGGAATAGCATGTGTGAGGAACAGCAAGAAGACCAGTATTGTTGGACTGTAAAATTGTGTAGTCAGTTAATGAACATGTATTGTCAATGAAACTTTATTAAATACCTACTGTTTACCAAGCACTGTTAAAAGCATCGGGAATACAAAGAAAGGCAAAAGAGAGCCAAGCTCTGCCTTTAAGGGGCTCACAGTCTAACGGGGAGAAAATATGCAAAGTACTACATATGAACAACTGAGATACAAAATACTTGGGAGGTAAATTGGAGATTATTTCCAACTAGAAGTAATGGGGTTGGGAAAGGCTTCCTGTAGAAGGTGGGATTTTAGCTGGGACTGGAAGGAATCCAGGAATTGAAGATGGGGGGGGTGAGAGCTCCAGGCATTGGGGACAGTCAGAAAAAATTCTGGGATCCAAGAGATGGAGTGTTTCGTTCATGGACCAGACAGGAGACCACTATCTCTGGTTTGAAGAGCACAGGGAGGGAATCAAGGTAAGAAAATTGGAAGAGGGTTATGAATGACCTTGAATGCCAAATAGAAGATTTTGTAGTTAATCCTGGAGTTGAGAGGGAGCCAATGGAGTTTATTGAGTATGGGAGTGACATGGTCAGGCCTGCACTTTAAGAAGATCACTCTAACAGTTTAATGGAGGATGGGCTGTAGTGGAGAGAGCCTTGGGGCAGGCAGTGCAACCAGAAGACTATGTAATAGTCTAGGCATGAAGTGATGAGGGCCTGTACTAGAGTGGTGGCTGTGTTAGAGAAGAAAAGGGGGTCTATATGGGAGATATTTTGAAACTAAAATCAACAGGCCTTTGTAACAGATTGAATATAGGGATAAGAGAGTCAAGGATGACATGAGGTTGTGATGCTGAGGGACTGGGAGGAAAGGGATGCCCTTGACAATAATAATAAAGGTAGGAGGGTTGAGAAGAAATACAAGTTCAATTTTCGACATGTAGAATCTAAGATGAATGTCTACAGGACATCCAATTTAAAATGTCCAATATGCAGTTGGAGATGCCAAACTGGAGGTCAGGAGAGAGGTTAGGTGGAGAAAAGTAAGTTTAAGAAGACTGAAAAGGGAACAAGCATCTATTAAGTTCAAAATCAGAGCAGGACAAAATCAGACTGGTTGGAAGGGTCAGGAGAACCAAGAACCAAAGAAAGAGTCTAGCCGCCAAGCCCTGACTCCCTCAACAGCCCAAGAAGGCCAAGACCATGGTCAAAGGAGAGCTTTCAGCTCTTGCTCCCTCACTAGGAACAAGGTCAGAAATCATAGAAGGAACAAGAGGAACTCAATGCTCCCTTCTCCATGAGGCAAGCCAAGGACCCAACTATGAAGTTCTGCTTTTCAGAACAGGGTCTACGCCAGAGGACCCAAGCTAAGGCAGAAGCTCAGGCTTCTGATCCCTAACCAAGGGCAAATAAAGAATATAGAAGTAGAAGGAGAGCCTCCACGATATTTTCTTCCAAGAGTCAGAGCAAGCAAAGAGATGAGCCACCCACCCATCCTTTAATTCATTCATCCATTCCTTTCTCAATTAGGATGTCTGACCTGTGGTGGAGAAGGGGAAGAATTGACATCCTGGGACCATACCTGAGTCCAGAAAAAATCCCTTCACTTTCCTAGACCTCTATTTTCTCCTTTGAAAAATATGGGGTCCCACACAATGGCCTCTGACATCTTCACCAGCTCTAAATCTACAATCCTAGGAGAAAGCATGGAAGAGGCTGCTAAAAAAATCAGATCATACATGAATCCATCCATCCATCCATTCATTCTTCTACCCAGCTATCCATTCTCTCACTTAAGTGCTAAGTCTTTCACTTCTTTGTTTCTTGTCTCTGTGGCTTATGGCAGATAGGAAAGGAATGGGACATTCAGTGGTCTGGGTATAGACAGAACAGAAAGACATTTGTCAATATACCAAATTATCATGGTGGACCGCACTCAAAAATCAGTACTTTCCTGCAGGAATACATATGTACACACATTCTCTCCTCCTTTCCAGCTTGAAGGGATGCCTCATTACCCTTGCTGGGAGGTTTGGGTAGAATGACTTCCTAGGTACTGACCAAAATGACAATCAGCAAAAATTCCGTAGAGGCAGCTTAGAAAAGTAAGGATAAAATGGATTCAAATACCACTTGGGGCCCTGCATAGATGATATTCTTTGCCTCTGAGGTCCCCAAGGAACTCTCAAAGACTGTGAGTGGTAATTTTGGTGCCAAGAAGGACTATTATATAGATATGGAACATTATATACACTTTCAGGCTGAATGGATGAATTGGAAGCTTGTGACAAATTGCCTCTTTCCTCTTGCCTTCTATTTAATTCTTTATCTAAAGAATAATTATGAGAAGGGCAGAGGGTTCTCCCAGGAAATGAAGGTGACGTCCAAAACAACAGAAATTTCTAAAAATTAAAAACAAAAAGCGTAACCCAGACAGAAATCTATATACCCTGAGAATTAAACCAAATCCATTACCAACCTCATGATAGAAGAATGAATGTGGACAAGCTGACTGTCTGAGGATAGTCCAGCTGATTAATCCAGGAGAAAGAAAGAAAGAAAGAAACCCAGGATAGACTATACCTCCCAGTTAGAAACCATGAATTCAAAGAGTCTTTGGAAATGGTAGGGACTTATAACTTAGGTAAATAAGAGACCATCTCCTTAAAAATAATTAATTAATTTAAAACTTTTTTTTAATTAAGAGAAAAAAGAAATGAATCAAAGGTTGTTGGAGGTGGCAGGAGGACGTTCAATGGAGAAACTGACTGGGCTTAGCTCACAAGGAGAATCAAATGAAATGAAACATTCACACATTAAAAATGAATAAATATCACCCAAACTATCCCTTCTGGGTCTACTCCCCCAATTTCTGTTCATATCAGCAGACTGAATCACTGGAGAGTGGCTATCATGCCCTTCTAGGTTCTAGGGATAATGCCAAGGGTCACTGCGGTTACTAATACTGTTGCTGATGATTCCCTTTAAGTGTAGTCCCCACTGATTCTCATTCAACTTTAATTGGATTTTGTGGGGGGGAAGTATTTACCAAGAAGGTATAGCAAGGACAGTTGTTCCAAAAACAATTTCCCTAAACCAGAGGTACATTCTCCTCTTAAACACATGAGGTCGCTATGCAGTATGCTCAAAGATATTGTAAAATGGTAGGAAAGTACCGATGTAGTGAGCATACATGTGCAGAGCACATCTCCTGAGTTCTGTTCTCCCTCCAGTGAGATTTCTTGAAGTTTCCCCCTCCCCCAGATGTAGCTCTCTGACAGGCTCTTTGTCTTCGTAGTCTCTATTGCTGCTACTTTGTCTATGAGTCAATGATTCTTCCAGCTACATTCAGAAAAGTGCTCCCCTTACCCCTGGACTTCCTGAGGATCCTTCCTTTCCTCTTCCCTTTATCACAGGTCCCTGTACCCAGCCAGGGTACTAAACCTCTAGCAGGGAACAGAGTACTCCGTTCTCCTCAAGCTGGAGAAGAGGGCAGGACAGCTGGGGCCCATCATAGCCATCAGAGTGGGATTCATTCTAGCTGGAGAATGACAATAGTGGAAGGGATATTCCAAAGTGCATCTGAGACTGTGTGGAGCCCAATTCACCTAGTATTGGGATGGGAATACTCTCTCAGAACAAAACGTGGGCTCTCCTGGAGGAACCCTCCTGCCCACAAGCAGAAGATCAGCTGGAGTTCTCTGTGGGGCAATGCTTCATTTCCAAGCATATACACCATGAAAACAGGAACCCCTGGGGTATATTCCACAGTTCCACACAGAAGTAGGCATAGGATCTCAATATAGGCAAAGACATGTGGAACAAGACCAGATTATTTCATTTTTTAACATCCTCTCTTCCATCTTTGTCGAGTGTTAGCACAATTGCATTGGATTGGGGTGGACATGGACTGGTTGCATTGGACACAAAGAATGATTTACTTCCTCCAAGTCTTTTACATTCCTCTTCAATGACTTTATATCATCAGATATATGATGGATTTGTTGTTGTTATTGTTGGGTTGTTTTTCAGTTGTATCCAACTCTGTGACTCCATTTGAGGTTTTTTTTTTGGTTTTGGGGTTTTTTTGGCAAAGATGGGGGAGTAGTTTGCCATTTCCTTCTCCAATTTTATAGATGAGGAAACTGAGGCAAACAGAGTCAAGTGATCTCCCCAGGGTCACATAGCTAGTAAGCTAGTAAGGCCAGATTTGAACTCATGAAGATCAGTCTTCCTGACTTCAAGCCCAGCATTCAATCCACTCTGCACCCAGCTACCCTTGTAGTGGATAGCTACTCCCAATACCAGAAGATATATATACATTTAGAGCAATAACAATACAACATTTTTCAACCAATTCAGTATCCATCCTTTAAAGAAACAGTTCATGCTTCAGAAATCAAACAAAATCAGCAAAGTGCACTTTGCTTCCATCACATGGAAACACGTACTTAGTTCCCCTAGCAACTTCCAGAGGCATTAGCACTTTCGGATGTACTCCAACCCAACACTCACTGCCATAAATTTCCAAGATAACCACTGACACATTAAACACTCTACCATTCAAAGCTGACAAAAAGCCTTTGACCTTTCTTCCTCCAAACAGAAATTATCCAAAATGATTCTGTATAACGCAGAAAAGTGCCAGATATAAGCTGCAATTAATGTCCATTTCCAAATACAGAGTTCTCCAAATAGAGAGTTCTTCAAAAGGTCAGGGCTAAGCAGGGCAAGGTGCCTTTAAGCCTTCATGCTACTTCAGGTTGTTAGCACAATTTGACTTCGATGTTGCCATCACTGAAGGCTTCTCTCCTCATTTCCTCCACTGCTCCCTTCCGATGACTCAGCCTGCCCCGCTTTCTGCCTGGAGAGTGGGACCCTTTGACAATGCAAAAGCAGATTGCAGAGAGGTAATTCTTTTTGAAATTTTCATTCAGGAAAGCATAAATGATAGGATTGCAGATTGAATTGGAGAAGCCAATGATTTGTACAACAGCGAAAATCATCTTGATGGTGACATCATCATATTCCTTTTCAAAATTACCTAGAAAAGAAGAGCAGTCGCTTGAAGACACAGCTTCATCAAGTAGGGCCAGTGATAAAATGTCCCTGCCCATTTTCCTGGCTTTACAAAAGATACCCTGGTATGATGGGCTGTGCATTGGTGGAAGTGACACAAGTTGGGATTTGGCTATTGGCTGCTGAAACTCACTGGCTGTGTGAGCCCATATTAGCCCCTAACCCACAAAATGGAAAAACACACTTGTTTTTTTTCATAAAATCAGCTCCTAGTTGTATTTATTAATTCAGTAAGTTTTTGTACACTCAACCTCATTAATCTCACTTTTAATTTTTAGGATTTCCAGTAGTTATTGTGAAGAAGGCCCTTTGTAAGCAGTAGTGCACTACTTGAACGTTAGCTACTAGTACCTGCGCCACCCCCCCCCAGGGTCCAGCAGCTCTGTTAGATGATGAGCCTTTCTCTTATTTTGTGAGGACTGAGGCCATCACACTACTTCCCCACCCACTGTCTATCATGCCTGCTTTACTCTGGCAATCACCTCCACTTTATCCGTAGGGGTATAAATTTGGACGCTGGCCTCAGTTTGAAGTTGGTTAGTTTTTCATCTTACTCTATCCACTTCAAAGCTTGTTCCGATCCCTCCCCCCATTCTTCCAGATACTGAGTCATTTTTGGCCACAGCAACTTTTGAAGATACTTCATGGATGGGGGGAATTGAATGGGAAGGAAATACCCACTCTGATTAAATCCAAGAACTTGAAACTGAATAACACAGCAGCTTAGAATTTAGGGGCAGAAGGGACACAGATCATCTATTCCAATTACCTCTTTTTACAGATCAGTAAAATGAGACCAATGTGAAGTGACTTTTTTAGGGCCACCTAGTTAGTAAATGATAGAGTTGGAACTCAGAACCAGGATTTTGGACTCTAAACCCAGCATTCTTTCCACCAAGCCATAAAATATTGCATGTACTTCATAGGAAGATTTTTTATGGACTTTTGCAATTTAAAAATCCTCTGATATAATAATGTGTCTGTCACATGAAAGGCTGCAAATTTTTTTCTCTTCCTGGCAAGGCAGTATTAGAGAAGGGCTTGCTAACCCTTGCCTTCCTTCTATTCTGCATGTCAAGGAAAGCAGGCTCAGGTAATTTGAATAATTTCACCCAGTGTTACTCAAGGACACTTATGGGTCTTAAGGACCCAAAAAAAAAAAAGGGCAGCATTAAACTGAAGGGTCTGCTGAGCCTCTAGACCTGAATCTGAGGTCCATGGATGGTTTGTGGATAAATTTCAGGAGGTCCATGAACCTGGACAGGAAAAAATTTACATCTGTATTTTCACTAACTTCTAACTGAAATTTATCATCTCCTTCAATTATAAATTTTTTAAAGTATTCTGAGAAAAGTTCCATAGGCTTCACCAGATTGTCAAAGGGGTTCATGACACAAAAAATAGTCAAGAACCCCTGCTCTAGACTGATGGGAGTCAATAAGACAGGTAGGAGACACCTTGTCCTGATATTGGTGGGGGGGACACACTGAGCAGTTAACCCTGACCCAACCAAGGCTACAATTGAGAAGATTAGTGGAGGTCAAGTGGTTTCATCTATTGGGAAGGATTCTAGGAAGGTACAATTCAGAAGGTCTGAAGGAATCCTTGTGAGTCACAGTATTAAGAGTGGGATGGATTCAGAAGGCCAAGTATCTCTGCCAAGATAAGGCAATTCTGGGATATGTCCTATGGTTCCTGGACTGCTCTCTGGGATCACCATGAGCTGGGAATGGCAAAAGAAGGCCAATGTCATCTGCTGGAGAGAGGGACTAGTAAGTATTCTTGTCAGCAGCAGAACTACAATGGGGAATGGGAATGAGGAGTGCTTACCCACTTCCCTCCACCTATGTCAGGGAAAGCCATAAGCTATATTGTATAACTGTCCAGAGGAACTGGGAAGTGAGTGAGACAGTAATTAGGGACAATCATGAGAGCTTCAGCAGGAGAATCATACTGAGGAACACACAAGAAGCAACACTTCCTGGGAAACTACCAAGGGCATGACTCAGTTGCCCAGATTTCTTATTTAGGTGCCTTGTAGATAGATGTCACTGTTTCCCATGAGGTCTGTGGAACCTCATTGCTTTATTTATCCTGGAACAGAGTTTCCCAAACTTATTTGGCCTACTACCCCCTTTTTAAAAAAAAATTACTCAGCGTCCCCCCTGGAAATCTATTTTCTTTAACCCTTTAATTTTTTTAAAATTTGCATCATTTCAAAATATATAATTTTTAAATGATGCATCTCAAATTTAATAATTTACTGTAAATTTGTGGGGTTTTTCCTGCATTGAAATTTTGATGATGCAATATTGTGTCATGTAACTGTATGGTATCATATTGTAAACAAGCCATTATACACACATATTCCTGCCAATGTATGCTGGACTTCCCAACAATGAGAGATACACTTGCCTGCCAACACTTGCTTGTAAAGACCTGTCAGCAGACTTGACCACTGATTGGTTATAACTTGCATTTTGTGTGTTTATTTAGAAAATAATGTAATCACTACAGTTAACTCTGTTACACAACAGATGAAACACATACAAATGCTTTTTGAGAATTCTCTTCTTTCTTTATGTTTTCACTGCCTCCTTATTTTTATTCAATGCCCCCCAATTGCACCTGAGGCTACTACCACCCCTCTGTAACATTCCAGCATCCCCAGGGGCGATATCACCCATTCGGAAACCTATATGACCTAGAAAGAAACCAGTCCATTCTTTGAGCTTTGTTGAGTCAAATGATTGCAAAGATGATTTGTGACAATAACCTGGGTAGTGGTAGATTGTGAGCTATTCTGATGACTTGAGAGGCAATAAGCCAGAGAAATAAGTAATTCCTTAAATTCAACCAATACCCTTTATGTCATGTGAGATCCTTGTCCAAAGGGGTTACTCATCCCTATTTCCCCTGAGTTAAGTTTATAATCAATTCCAATTAGTTCAATCTGAAAGCTCTAGGCTCTAAACAGTGTGGGCTTTTTCTTTGTACTTTTCTGACATTAATAGAACATTAGGTTTTAAGGGCAAAAACACAATGTGGAAAAATAAGGTCTGAGGTAATAAAAGAAAATAAAATACAGAAGTCTCTGAGTGAAATGCAGGACACTAGAACATCTACCAGGTTCAAGCCCGGACTTCAGTTGGGACAATTTTCATCTCTTAAATTCCATAATGTCTACTTCTCTAAATGAGAATGATAAGGCTGACTTTTGGGGATATGTGTTCAGCTAGTATGGCTAAAGAGTGTTGGGATCTTCCATGGTATCTGTAATGATTCAAGTCCTGGCTGCAGGAATGCAGCTTAATTACCACCCTGGGCCCTGGGCCCCAAAATCTAGCATTTCTGAAAGAGTGGGGAAAGGGCCAGCATTCAATATTAAGTACTTTCTGCTCTCAGTGACAGGACTCTGTCTTCAATTGTTTTGTATTATTGTTATGTATGATTATATATTACTATCAGTACACTCATTATCAGAGGCAAGGGAATGGTACCATTCTGAGACTAGGAATGATAAGCACTTAACTGTATTCCATCATCATGTGAGTTACATGGAAAGGAGCCCAGCATACAGTGAAAAGGGAAACGACCATCACCATCATGATGACAGCTCGCTTCTTCTTCCTGGGAGGAAAAAAACAATCAGCTCCAGAATGATTGTGAATCCATGCATCATTACATTTATTATTGACATTATTATCCTGATTCTTCTGCAAATGAGTATGTTTATCTACTAGCTAGCCAGCTAAGCCTGGAATCCTCTCCCATAATTCCTCAAATATTACTCCAGACATCACCAGAAGAAGCAGCTTTGCTCTCAATCAACAATTCCATTCCATGAGTGAGGCACCATGGCATGGTAGACAATACTGGACTTGGAGTGTGTAAGTCTAAAGTTCAAATCCTACCTCAGACAATTCCTACCTGTGTAACCTTGGGCAGGTCATTTCAGCTCTCTCAGCCTTAGTTTCCCCATCTACAAAATGGGGATAAGAACAGTATCTACCTTACAGGGCATTGTGAGGATCGTATGAGATAATGAATTTAATGTGCTTTATAGACTTAAAAGTGCTTTGTAAATATAAGTTATAACAGCATCAAAAGGAGCTTTAGAAATCATCTAAATTCAACCAATCTAAGCCAAGCCCTTCATATTACAGATGAGCAAACTGAGGTTTCAAGAAATTAAATATATTACCCATGGCTCCACAGGTAGTGAGTAATAATAAAGACAATCATGATCATTTCTATAGTGCTTTAGGGTTTGCAAAATGCTTCATAAGTTATCTCATCTGACCCTCACAATAACCCTGGGAGGCAGGAGCTAATATCATCCTCATCATACAGATGAGAGAACTGAAGCAGAGGTTAAATGACGTGTCCAGTGTCACACAGCCATTAAGTGTCTGAGGCAGGATTTGAACTAAGATCTTTCTGAATCCAAGTCTAACACTCTACCCACTATGCTACCTAACATGTGCCTTTTCTAAAAAAAAAAAAAAAAAGGAAAACATGAGTGTGTCTCCAGGATAGCTGACAGCAAAGTATGTGAATAACAACAACAACAATAACAATAATAATAACTGGGATATATTTAATGCTTTTTACATTGAAAAGTGCTTTTCATGTAGTGTAAAGGGCACATGATCTGGAGTGAGAGGAACTGGGTTCAAATCATGGTACCGTTAAACACAAAGCACTTTTCAAGCTAAAAAGAATTCATGTGCCAATTATTTTTGTTGTTGTTGTTAAATCACATGCTCTTCTATCAACTATCCTGGAGACACATTCATGTTTTTCCAAAAAATAAAATAAAAAGTGAAATTCTCTGTGCTGTACTTCTTTTAGTTTCACTTTTTTTTTTAAAAAAAAAGGATCATTTGTTCTGAAAATGAAATACCTGAAAATATTTACAAGCATAACATAAGAGGAATACAAAGTAACATTTAAAAAAAAGATACTCCTACAATCCCAGAATCTCAGGACTGGAAAAATTTCCAAGGTCATCAGGTTCAACTTATATTTCAATGATGTCTCTAGCAACCATATGGACACCTGAAGTGAGGGTACCCCATTCCACTTTTGGACTGCTGTAATTGCTAGCTATGTGACCCTGGGCAAGTCACTTAACCCTGTTTGCGTCAGATTCCTCATAAAATGAGCCAGAGAAGGAAATGGCAAACCATTCTAGTATCTTTGCCAAGAAAACTCCCAAATGAGGTCACAAAGAGTCAGACACAACTGAAAAATGCCTGACCAACAGAAGAGGTATAGACACGCATGGAATCCAAAGTGGAAAGCAAGTGTTTATTTTAACACATAGCCCACTAGAGCTTGCTACATGTGTACCTCAAGAAATAACAAAGCTTCCGACGATCACTAGGGTGCTCTAGACAAAATGCAGATTTGTAAAAGATTACACATGTGCATATTTGTGTGGATACAGCATGTGCCAAAAGTTTTAGTGCTGAAAGCAGAAACTGCACTGTAATAGATAATAGATATATGTGTATATACATGGACATATACACACATACATAGACAAGCAGGGATGTCCTGGGAAATGCTTAACAACTGCTTCTGCCCACTCCAAAAACATGTCTGCAAGACAGACTTATAAGGTTGACCTGCATTATGAACATTTTCTCCATCACTTTCTTAATGTTGGCAATCAACAATGAGAACAACAGAAACCGAGCCCTGATTTCTAGCACCACTTTCTGAAGTGCATATATATCTATATATACTCACATTGAACATTTAACAATTGGCTCTGGAAAACTGGTCCAAGCTGGCTCCAGTACACCCTTGAACATGAACATATAGGTTATATATATGATGTGTGTGCATATAAATTATACATACACACAAAATACGTGTGTGCATATGTTTAAATGTGCATGTTTAGGTAGGAGGGATACATATATATACACACACACACATGCACATATGTAGGTATATATGTACATGTATGCTGACAACTATACACATAAGTGCATTGTACAATACACACATATGTACATACATGTATATATACAGGAAGGCGTTGGACCCAATGGATATGTGTATACATGTATGCATGTATGTCTGTATCCATGCACTTGTACCAGAGCTACAGATGGACAGCAAGAATAACCCCATCCAGTGGCCCTTCAGGGAACCTGAGTGAACTGAGAATTACCTGGGAAGAGAGTAGGATTACTGAGTGTGAGATGGTATGGAGGGTTGGGAGGGAGAGTGTGAGCTAGATCAGGAGAGGGGCCTGTTAAAGGAACTTGGAGCAAATGGTTTTGATCTGGAGGAGCAGCTATGGAGAACTGAGGGTTGGTAATGAGTGAAGACTCTGCTGCATAGCGATGTGTGTCAAATACTCATCCTTGAGTCCCTAGATCCCCAGGACTGAGGCCTGAGATTTGTCTTAGTAACATTCATTTTTTTTAAAAATGTAAAATCAATAGCAGCCTCCCATTCAATTGAATTCATCTGAAAGGCAGTTTGAAATAGTAGCTACTGTATTGTACTGAGTCAGGGAAGACTTGGGTTCAAATCTTGCCTCTGATACTTCTGAGCTCTGACCTTGGACAAGTCACTTAAGCTTTCTGAGCCTCTGTAAAGTGGGGAGGTAATATTGCTTTATAGATTCGTTACGTAGATTCCCATGAGATAATGTATGCAAAGAGCTACATCAGTGTTTGTTTTTATTATTATGCCATTTACAGGAACATCTTTTAGGTAGGAGCAAATCTGTCAACACACCAACCTGGTTATCTTCGACATTTCATTTCCATGAATAGCTCTGAGAACAGAAGAGTCTCCTATTCTTTTCTTGATCCAGAGCTCATAGCCAATTTTACTGTAAAGGACAAGCATCATCACAAGAGGCAGCAGGAAGAGGATGATGAGGATGAATGTAGTGTAGATCTTCTGGTGGAAAGGACTGCTCCATTCTTCCAGGCAACAAATGTGTTCTTTTTCATATAGGAAATCATATTTAATCTATAAAAGAAAAAAGGGAATTAGAACTTGGAATCCAAGAAACATAATGGTCCTCTTCTTTGTTTAGATATACCATTTAAAACTGCTTCTATCTTCTACATTTGAATGATTTTTAAAGCATGGATAAATTTGCCTTCCAATGATCAAAGTGATTGAAGAATGATGTTTTTCCAATGAGGTACTTTCCCACCACCACCAATCATGGGCTCATAGAGTAATAGGTTAAAGGTTGGAAGAGATTTTATAGGTCATCAAGTTCAAATTCTTCATTTTACAGACAAGTAAACTGAAGCCCAGAAAAGTTGTGATTGCCCCACAATCTGCACATGCAACTACTGATTTGACCCTGATCCCCTCACTCCAAACCTATCACTGTTTGAACCAGTAGTGGGGGACCTGTGGGCTCGAGGCCACATGGGGCCCTCTAGGTCCTCAAGTGTGGTCCTTTGTCTGAATCCAAACTATTCAGTCCAAGGGCTGACTTGAGGACCTAGAAGGCCCCATGTGGCCTCAAGGCCACAGGTTCTTGTTCTGTGAAGTCTGGATTCAGTCAAAAGGCCACACTTGAGGACCTAGAGGGCACATGTGGCCTCGAGCCCACAGGTTCCCCACCCCTGCGAGTTTGAACCATACCACATTGCTTCCCAATTTTTCTTTTCTAGTAGGACACATCTTGTCTTTGTAGCTTACGAATCCCTTAGAGTCACAGGTCTGCTTTTGAGCTCTGAGAAGAGATCAGATCAGTGGATGTTATGACTCTGTGCTCACCCAAGTGGATACAGAAAAGCTTTTTGTATTCCCAAGACTGAGATAACCTTCTTACTCCCTGTGGCAGGTCACTCTATTTCAAGGGTTGATGAATAGACCTTGCAGACCCAGAGGATACTCAAGCTCTGTCAGGTTTGCAGTGGTTGCAAAGTTCAGAAATGTTATGATTCTGTGAGTAAATGTACCTCTAACCTGGGCCAAGAAAGCCAGGCACCTCCCTGGTATGGGTGGTGCATCGTCATGGTTGACATAACAAAAATACTCTTTCATTATGCTTTTTCTTGGCCTCAGTTTCCTCCTCTTCAAATGCAGGTATGGGATCAGCGCTCATCACCCTTTTTGCAGCATTCTTTGGCAAATCAAAAGTTTCAGTTGGTTTAAAAAATATCATAGTTCAGGCCTCTGGACCCATTACTCAGACTTTGGGAATATCCAGATTTTCCTTCCCCTTTCCCACATCTATCATTGCTTGCCCAAGATCACAGTGGAAGAGGCAGCATCGCACCTCCATGGAGAGACCTGTATAGAAGCCAGGAAGAGGAGGAAGCAAAGTACATCCGGGGTGATAGACAGGGAACACGGAAGCTTTGGGGTACAGGGAGGAGTTTCATAATACATCTAGCAAAACTGGTGGCATCTTCTTTGAGAATCACTGCAATAGAAGATTCCAGGTGCCCCTTCTAACTCTAGATCTGATGGTGTACTTTGCTCTTATTCATCACTATAGGTGCCTACTTCCTCAGCTACCCATAGCTAGTTCATCATTTCAACTGTCACCAAGTTACCTTCTGGCTTATTGTAAGGTGGTGGGAGGAGGGAAGGCAGGGGTGGTGCGCAAAAGCTCCTACCTTCTTACCCAGCTCCAGGCAAAGCACAGGGCTCAGTAAAGTGATCCCCAAAACCAGTCAAGTGACTCAGTTGAGTAGGTGGTTTTTGTTCTTGACAAGGTAAGAATTCTTAAATTCATCTCTAATGACCAAATTTGATAGAACGAGGGGGCCACAATGAGCTATGTGCCCAGATGAAGGAGGAAGCTTTCAATTGTTACTAGGGCAAGGTCCTTTAATGAAAAAATAAACTCATTCCTTGGAGGGAAATGGGGGCAGAAGTAAGTGCAACTCCACTGGCCCTGTCACCTTTCATCTGGAATGTAGGAGATAGAGTTTTTGCCTTTAACACTCAGAGCAGCTAAGGAGGCATGTGATCCAGCGACTAGAAATAGGGGCAGCTCTCTCCTGCTGTCTCTGCTCCCTGGGATTGGCTACACCCAGAGAAAAGAGAAGGAGAGAACTGCACAGTCTTTCACATTCTCTGCTGGAGGTCCTTCAGCTATCAAGCTCTATGACCTTAAAATGGAGCTAATCCTTGGACTGTTACAGGGTCACTGTGCATAAAATGCTCTGTAAAACTTAACGTGCAATTGAAATGCAAGCTATTATTACTGTGACTTATGAAGCTGTGGAGGACAGGATCCAGGATCTTAGAGGGAAATTTAAAAGAAAAACAGCTTGAATTAGAACTATTAGAATTTTTTTAAGTTGTGAAATGTAAATAACTCAGGAGAGCAATCTCTAGACCATCACAATAATAAATGAGCAAAAGTCCTACTACTTGATGGAAAATGTTTTCTACTATGTAGATGCGAGTAGCAATAGGGAATGAGGAAAAGCACTCTCAGGGAGCAGAGTTGGAGAGATGGAGGCCTTAGCATCTATTTTTCAAAAAATAATTTCCCACCAGAAGCAGAGCTTGGGTGAAACACTAGATGATCCCATTTACAAAACGATTCCTTCTTATCTGAGCTTCCTGGCAGATTTCCAAGGAAATATATAAGAGTCTCAGCAGTGTTGCAAAAGAAAGAGAACATGGAAAAGTTTCACAGCAAGTAGGGCAGGGGCAGATTTCCAAAATGAAGTGGCTATATGACTGTATACCTCCAGCTGCTGCACGTGCCACATCGGAGAGCCAACAATCACGGCGACCAGCCAAACGATGCCTGAAAAACCATCGAGCTATTAACAACAATCATTAATAATGACTGTAATTATTAATAATACTAATTAATAATGACAATAATTGATAATAACAATAACAGCTAGCATTTCCATAGTACTTTAAGGTTATTAAATCACATGTATCAGTTACTTAATAATTACATTCAAAGATGAGCCATGGTAGTAGCTGACATCTGCAGTCACAACTTACTTCGAACTTCAAAATCTAAACCACTCAAGACTATAAGGAGGTAACTGAAAGTATCCCAGGCTAAAAACTCACAGAGCATTTGGACCTTTCATGGATATTCCTCCATCCTGTATGACTGTTGCCTTAAAAATTCAGAGTGCTTTCATATCATTCCATGATACATGTGCTTTCTCTCCACTTCAGGAATGAACATACCCAGCTTTTAGAAGCTGGTGTTTTCCTTCAACATCACTCACTCCCTGTCAATTTATTCATAGTGGGATCACAGGATTGAGAGCCGAAAGGTGTCTTTGAGATTCTCATATTCAATCTGCTTCATATATTCAGGAACTATAGCACATGGGTGAGCTGGCCCAAGGCTATGCAGGTAATAAATAGCAGAATTCAGATTTGAACCCATTCACCTTTATAGAGCAATTTAAGATTAGCAAGAACTTTCAATTCAACAATTTTTAAAGTACCTACTATGTCCCAGTAACTGATGCCTAGAGCTAATGATATAAAGTCAAAAAGCCTCAAGAAGCTAACATTCTACTAGGAATTCACCACAAACCTGTGAAGGAAGTAGCGGGCACATTGTTATACCTATTTTACAAATGAGAAAACTGAGGTGCAGAGAGGTAAGTGATTTTTCCAAAGTCACATAGCTACTAAGTGTCAGGCATCCAGACTTGAACCTGTGCCTTTTGGTTCCGAGGTCAGTATACTTTCACATGGCACCTCTCAACCTTTTAGTTTGTGGCAAGGAATTTATTTTGTCCTATAATGCGGCAAGAAAAGAGAGAGAGAGCTAATACCATGTATTACAGCAACCACCATTTCAATTCAGTTCAATAAAATTTTTATTATCAAGGCATGCTATAGAAGTCTGACCAAAAAGCCATGGGCTGGGAAGAGATCGAGACCAGAGGATCATAAAGTTATAGGGGGAAAGGACCTTAAAGATCACTTAGTTCAACTCCCCATTTTACAGATGAGGAAACTGAGGTGAAGAGAGGTGAAGAGGTGGAAAACGTTTAATATAACATCAGACCATGGAAGTGTTGGTTAATTCACCTGGCCTGTTTATTTTTCTCTGCCTTCTTTGTTCTTTGCTATAAAGGGTGTTACTTTGGCTGGAGATGGGGGAGATGACTACAATGGGAACTCTAGATGGTATGAAAACAAAAGATTTCAATGCAAATTTTAACTTTTTAAAATAAATCAATGTTATGTCCAGGTGATTGCAGGTAACAGCTCTGTATACAAATTGGTCCAGTGCTAGTATAGTTTATTTCTTGAATACTCAAAGATATTTTGAGGTCATTTTTGGGAAAAGATCAAATAATGACTATTCTATTACATGGAAAAGAATGTTCATCTAAAATTGGGTTTTGTCACATTGCCACCTTTTCCTTGCTCAAGACTTTTATAAATGTTACATCAAATTGTGTGGCATTAGAGAAATGTCTAAGGACATGGACTGAGGGACTACATCAGTTTAAATATTTATTTCTCTGGGCTAGAAATGTTTGATTCAGAGCAATAATGTATTATTCTAATGTGTTAGAATAACAAGAACTAATAAAAAATTGTCTTGGACATGCCTAAAGCACAGAGTACAATATTAATTTTTTTCTTTAAAACATTTATAACATTTAAAACATTATGAAACATAAAATTTCTTTAAAGAAGCAGAAATCACCTTTCACCCAAAGAGCTTGCCTTCTAACAGGAGTGACAGCATGTACATATATGGGCATATACAAAATACATCAGCAGCAGCAGCAGCAGCAGCATCACAACCAGCATTCATGGAGCAATTAAAGGCTGCCAAAACTCTCAAAAATTATCTCATTCTGTCCTAATAATAACGCTTTAAGACTGATCATTTCCACTTTACAGATGAGGAAACCGAGGCTAGAAGTTAAATGACTTGCCCAAGGTCACACATCTAATAAGTGTCTGAGGCAGGATTTTAACTCAGGCCTTCCTAACTCTAAGCTCTTCACTCTATTGGCTGTACAACCTCAGGATGGAGTTTAAGTAGACACTACGCAAATATAATTCATTATCTTTATTCTTTTATATTCTTTTATAGTCAGTGTTCTGCAGACTATTACACAAGCCAATTAAATGCTAGGTGAACTGGAATATTGGATTAAAGATTATCTTCAGAAAAAATTATCTTATAGATAGGACAAGGGCACATATATGTTATCCTGTGTCCATGTGTTTTTCATTTCTGATGACCTTAGGATCAAGGTACTTAGGATGTCCAACCTCACAGAAGCAGCTAGTGGGACAGCTGCAATGGATAGGGCACTGGCCTTGCAGTCAGCAAGACCTGAGTCCAAATCCCATTGTGGACACTTACTAACTTTGGGCCCCTGGATAAGGTTTTTGTCTCTGTTTTTGCAACCTTAAAATAGTAACCATAATAGCACGTACCTCATGAAGGTTTGTTGTGAGGATCAAATGAAATTATATTTGTAAACAACAAGAACAAAGAAGCCTGGCACATACTAGGTACTATATAAATACATGTTGCTTTACTTTCCCTCTCAAACTCACAAAGTTTCCTCCACAACCCCTTCCCCTCTTTGGTGAGTTACTTACTTAATGACCAATATGGGACTGCTTCATCATTTCAAAGAACAAGACTTTCAGTAGTCACATAACTTGAAAGTTTCTAAATGAGTTCCCTGGGATGACCCTTAGGAGTGTTCTCCCATGACTACAACTTCAAATTCAACCCCAGACACTCTATGAGCCACCGGAAAGCATTTGAGCCAATCATTATGAACCTAATCCGGTCTCACCATTTTCCAATTGTGCAGAGAAACTAGCATTTCAATGATCTCTTTTGATATAACTATTCTGCCTTTCATTCTGTTAATAGCATGCAAGCTCTCTGTTGAATATTTGACCCAACTTTCATTTTTTTATGATATCTCCTTGTAACTATATAGGGAACCAGAAATTTTCCATATCTTTCTTCATACCAGAGAGAATGTCATGCACAATGCAGACCTCATGAGACATTCAAAAATGCATACCATGGTGGAGGGTGAGGAACTGACTTTATCGAATTTAATCTAAATATAACTATTTGCATAAAATGTGTATCCATTAAGTGTTATGAAAAGTTTTCATTCCGTTATCCATTCTATAGCTCTACAGTTTGTTAATGAGGGAATTGAGACTATTTGTGTTTAATATTATTAGTAATATATGCATTTTTCTTCTGAAATTGTAGCTATGATGTTATATATGTCATGTATGGTTATTCATGAAATTATAGCTGTATTGTGTATTAAGCCTGTGTTTTTTCCTTAATGTTGATATGTTTGTTTTGTTCTTTGAGCTTCTTTGACTTTTTAGATCACCTCGACCTTTCGCCTTTTGCTTTCAGTGACCAGTGAAGGATATCGAGGTTTCCAGATGTTCTTTTGTTTCCCAGATTTCACCTCTACATGCTTCTTTTGTGTTGTCATTAATTGGTCTATGTGAGTTTCAAGTAATCTACAGATACTACTGTGAAGAACACTTTATCTCTATTAAATCACAGATGTTATGTATGTGTCTCATTTCATTTCCATCCTGAACCTGAATCCACTGGACCAGCCTGAGTCAGGTTGGCCCAGAATCCTTGATGTTACTTGGCATAATTGAATCATGATGGCCAATGAACTGACTAATTGAAGTAGGGGAAGGTTTATGTGAACAAAGCAGAGCCTCTGGTGATCAGATGATTGGATGTAGCAGCCTGGCCCTCTGTGGCCATGGCTTTTCTTGGTGAGTCATTTCAGTCATGTCTGACTCTTTGTGACCCCATTTGGGGTTTTCTTGGCAAAGATACTGGAGTGATTTGCCATTTCCTTCCCAGCACATTTTACAGATGAGGAAACTAAGGCAAACAGGGTTAAGTGACTTGCCCAGGGTCACAGAGCTAGTAAGATCCAGATTTGAACTTATGTCTTTCTAACTCTAGGCCCAGCACTCTATCAACTGTACTGCCTTGTTGCCCTGTGGCCAAGGTACTTCTAGCTAATTTAGTGGTGAGTCCTCTCAAGGCACAGAGAGGGGTCCTCCTACTAGTTCCTATCCTATTATTAGCCTAATGGCAGCATAAAGAGGTTGATATGAAGCATAAAGATGTCATCACTCAGATTACATCTGGCTAGGTATTTCATGTGTGCTAAATTTTTTGCAACTTACCATGATAAATTATGCAGTTGCTACCATTTCCTTACGCGATCTACATAAATTACTACATCTGGGCTCTAAGCTGCCCCTAACTGTAATTTCTGATTGCAACATCCTTGGACATGTATTACCATCATAAACCCCTTCGCTTCACAAAGAAATGTGTGTAAGGTTGCCATTGTTTTCATTCTCTCTTATCAGCATACTGTTGATTGAGTTCCTATGGATGTTGCCCAAGGAGTGCCTCTACATTCTATTTTTGGATCTCAATTATTTCACAGATGACATCTGGAGGGAAGTCCTTTGAGGTTACATTTGATGAATCCAATATCATTGACCTATCATCTGCCTTTATTTCTTGGTGAAGCAATAATGTCTGCTTATTGAAAAAAGCATTTCTGTACCTCTTTTTAAACCATTGTTGCCTCAGACAAAATGAGATCTGGGAAAGACCTAATTTAGAAAGGTCAAGGTCCCCCACTGCATCCTGGGCCATCACCAGTCATCTTAACTTTTGTCTTACCACTGCACTCTGATGACACTGGAGGAGAGAGTGAGGCTGAGGACCCTGTACAGTTCTGCTTCACTTAAATCCAATCACCC